CGTTATTTTTGGCACCGATTCGATCGATTAATTTATAGATTTTGCCTTTGAATCCCGTCGTTTTGTTCATTCGGTAGTAACTAATATGGAATTAGCGTGATTGAGCCATAGTAGAGACGCTGCTTCGTGCTTTAGTAACTTATTTTAATAGTAACAGTCTACAATAAGCAGTAACAAGGTATAAGCACTACAGTTTTATCGATCTCTCGCACTTTTCTCTGGGTACTAAGCTCAAAGTGAGATTTTAACATTTCCACTACGCCCATTAAAGTTGTTTTCTTTAGAAAATTTTAGAAAGCCTTACAAATTACATCATCAAGTCTGCGGCCGGCCGTTTCGACGTAGCCTTGACCCAGGAAATATTTGTGCCCGCTCTTATTACCCTGCAAAGAACAGCCTACTCATCTAAACTAATAAAAACGTGGTGAGTTTGCCAGTTTTAAAATCAGACAAAGGCATAAAGCGAACAATACTACGGTGACACGACTACGTACAAAATTGTGACGTACTCGTATATAAATACATTCCTGTATATAATAACGTAATGTACTTATCATGGTATGGAAACTCATTCATTTGTTTGTTTCAGCCAAATGACGTCCACTGTTGGACAAAGGCCTCCTCCAAGGAGTTCCAGAACGACCGGTCTTGCACTGCCCGCATCCAGGTTCTTCCCGCGAACGTCACCGGATGGAAACTCATGTAAAAGTTGAGTATAAAATGTTGCAATATCCTCATTAATGAACAACAAATGAATTAGGTATGTACTGTGAGTGTACATCAAGATTTTCAAGTCAAACTCAGAATCTGAGTTATCATCAGTGATAAAATGTCCCAGAATTTAAATTCTAATTCTTTAATAATCTGTGGGCCATATTCAGGGTACTTACTCACGTCCCAAATATAGCTTACCCTTTGAATGTTATTATTAATAAAATATTATTTCATATACTAGATCTGGCTGTTCTGCCTACGTTCTACCTCAACGGTGATTAATTAAGAACAACAAAAGCCAAAGCGGTTTGTTTGTGTTGCTGTGTTTCTTGCCCTTTACACGAGTAGCGTAAGTGAATAAATTATTTACGCTCAACAATCTGACTCGAGCACTGCTGACGTACCTACTGTATTCCAATCACGAGGATACTCTGTCTCGGTTACAGTTGAAGTGTTTACTTGTGAAGATCGATCTTTAATGACAGATAAAACGTATTGAATACACAGATAAACGACCACTGCTGGACAAAGGCCTCCCCCAAGGATTTACACAAAGACTGGTCTTGCTTTGCCCACATCCAGGTACTTCCCACGACCTGCACCAGATCGTCAGTCCACCTAGTGGGAGGCCTGACACACTACTACGTCTTTCAGCTCGTATATTATCCGGTATAGTACCGGTGGCTTAATAGAAGAAGGAACATAGAAATGATAAATTTCAATAACCTGCCTCTACGCACCCACCTTGTAAATGTAGTAATTAATAAAGTGAAAACTAAAGCTGGGTGCACCATATTACTTTAACTTTGACTAACGTCAAAAATCTGTCAAACACCATAAAAAAACACCGGTTATCGTCAAAGTTACGGTCAAAGTTAGCTGGTGCAACTCAGCCTAAGTCATGTAGAGGTGTAGCCTAAGTGCAAACCACCGACTTTAGTTGGCCGATAGTTTAGTCGGGCAGTTAACCAGTTATGGGCAATATGTATGGAAGTGCGCAAATTACACCGATTTGGTATCGGCTGATTCTTCATAAGTACAAATTAAAATCGAGCCCAAGTATAGGCCAACTAAAATTTGATGGTCTGCTCATAGGCTTCATTTTGTATCGCATGAAAATAATAATTCATAATATTTTATCAAAAATCTGCAATGTTGTTAGATAACAGATATTTTTATCAATATCGTGAATAGGAAAGTAACTCAACCTTCTTGACTCCCTACCTTTGGGTATTCCAAGAAACAAAACATTTCTGGTTAATACATCAACCGAGTAAAACCAATTTGGAATAATTTTGCCGCACGTTGCAGCAAGTCAGTAATAAATCATATAAAACACCACCGCCATTATAGTAACGAAGAAAATCTATATAGAACGAGATCATTCGACGAAGTTTCCTCTGTTTGTATACCTATAATCTATATCCATATACAACTATTAGCTTATTCGTCAGTCCCTTGGGAGGTAGAGGGCATAGACATGAGCGGAAAAAATACAATTTACTCCTCTTTCATGCAACAGTAGGTTATTTTTCCAGTTGCAAATAAAATAAAACAAATGGTAATAATGGAACTGTAAAATATACTGAATAGACAATTTGACACCATTCCCCAATATTTCGAAATCAAAAATTTTCTAAAAAGACACTTCATTCTGGTCTTAAAAACTTAAATAATTTTAAATTACCTACCTGTAAATTACGATTTTTGGTCGCATTGTAAAGGAAAAAAGTAGTTAACAAAATAGTGACGTCACTTGCTTGTAGTGCCATACAAAATCTATGGGACGGGGTGGGTTTTGACAGTTTTAAAAAGTACGTCAATTGATTGGTGGTGTCAACATGTCTATTGTATAAAAAGCCCTCCAAGTTACTCGTATAATAAGTCGAATACATATCAAACACTACGAAAATTTAGCTATTAATTAGTGTCACGATGGGCTTACTCTTGATTATAATTAGCTATAATCACCTAACCTAATTAGGAAACCTTATTAGACTGAATTCAGTCTTACGAAATCTAAAAAAAAATATTATAATAAAAATATGATAATGAGGTTTTTAATGGAGTGGAGCATTTTGAAAATCTTATGCTGGATTTATATTTGTCTGATGAAAGAGTTGTGTCGTGACGTCAGAACGGAATCGGTTTCATACATTATGCGATACGTCAGAAGCCATCACGACACGACACAGCACCACATAACACTCTAATGTATGACTCAGTCGAGTTTACTGCGTACATGGAGGTCGTGACGTCACATCGACGTTTTGGTACGAACGGGGCGAAGTGTGCGGATAAGTAGGAGGGAGTCGCATTCCAGCGAGGTGCGCAGTAACCTCGATCGGGTTGTAAACCCGGCTTTGACTTACTTGACTTGACTTAAGCTCCTATGTCCCCTAGCTGGGGCAAAGGGCGTCCACAACAGTCCTCCATCGCGTTCGGTCTTGAGCTTCGCGCTTGACCTCGCTCCAGGTCTTGCCGATTTTCTTCGCCTCGTCTACTACAGTGTGTCGCCAATCCGGTTTTAATTACTGTTAAATAAGGTATTTTCTCAAACGCTTCATCTTATTAACCTATCAGCACCCAGCGTCTGCGATAAGCCGCGACCTCGCCCTCTTTGATTTACCGCGGCGACTCTGCAAACAACTTGTATGCGGTAGAAAAATGTGGCTTCATGAGTTTTGTGGCGCAGGTGCTGCGAATTGTTGTTTGTTGGTTCTGGTGCTGCAGGCATGTAGGGGTTAAACGAAAACGCACGTTAGTATTGAACTAATAAAAACTATCAAATGTTTCGTCTTTACAAGGGAGGAAAGATTTGATGATTAGTTTGTTTGAATTAAATATGCTCTGAAACTTCTGGACCGATTTGCAAAAATCTTTCAACATTAGAATTCTACATTATTTCTCTGATGAACATAGGTGGTACGAAGTACACCGGGTCACCCATATTGAATCAAAATTATTGCTGCACATTGCTGTGTTGGCAAATAGTCACGTTAGTGGGGTTGACCTTTGTGAGACTGTTCTCCCATGTAATTTTCAGCAAGACTATGTAACTAGAATTTACAGCTTGACCGTTAATAAAAACTCGACTAATATTAAGCACAGGACAAATTTGTCCTAGGATAAAGTTAAAGAGTCATTGAACCCACAGCAAAACTAACCAGATGAAAATAGAAGGATCTCTTGTGTGTTTTTTTTTTGTTTAAGTTAAGTATTTATCTATCTCTCTTTTTAAAGAGGAGCTTTACTTATATGACAAATAAAGGTATAAATAACTCCTAAGAGTAGAATATTGAGCTAAGAACGGATACTAAGAATTGTGAAGACCTATCACGTATAAAAATACGTGCGTCTTCTTGACGTAAAAGGGTCTAAATGCTCATATTATAAAATATGTTACAGTCACTATGACGCTTCTAGGGAATCACACGCGTGACTCCCGGGATAAAGCGAGTGCACTCGCGTACAAAATGCAGGGAGTGTAAGCTTGGATGCCAAAACGCGGCGATGTCGAAAAGGCAAGAGCATAATGCTTATACCGTGTGCTATGCCACACACAGTTGCCCAACTGGTGATACACAAGTGTTACAGTGGTGACAGTAAGGTGTTACAGTAGTACTAGTAGAACGTGAAGACGACGAATTAATGTATTGCAGCAGATTTGATCTTATTTCAAGCTTTAGGATCGAACTTTCGTGTACCTAATCAAAACATTATACCTACACAAGTTAAGTGACGTAGATCGTAAAATCGATAGGAAATGGTAGATGGTAGAGATCCCGATTTATATGTCATTTTTAGGTGGTAGTGATCTTCAAAGTTAAATTATGTTATTTAACTAATTGTGCTAATGCACAAAAGCTATTTTCTTAACACTTTTTTAAAAACCTATAAAAATTTTATTGTTTCAATCATTTTGCTTAACTACGAGATGAGGCACTTAATTAGATGTTTAATGCTACTTGACTTCTGTTCTGTCACCTTACAACCTTACAGCATGAGCTCACTCGTTTTCATCGTTCAAGTTAGTGAGGTGAAGGTCGAATTGACAAAGACATAGTTTCAAGACCTCGCGAAGTTGAAAAGTCGAAGTGAATGATTGAAAGCACTTCTCGGAAACTTTTTAGTCGAAACTCTATTCTTTGTTCAACTTTATAATCTGTATCTGTAGACACTTGCTGTCAACTGTAAAGTTTATGGTTATCTATCTATCTTGTGAGTTTTTAAACAATTTTAATTTCTATTTTTTATATATTTTGAATTTTACTATACAAAAAGCAATGCTGAACCAAGACGACTCACTATCCCTGATCGACAAATTCCCCCGGGCCGAGTATTGTTGCTCCAGTGTGAATGTTAAGAGTGGGACGAAACTAATTGCTATTCTGGGGATCGTAAGTTAAATCTGGTTGTTTTGGTTCATTTCTAATTTGCTTTGAGATGGCTGGAGCAAATAGGTTATTCGGTATTGCACGCTAGAGGATACAGTGAGTTTACTTTTAGTGTGTACTTGTTCAGTATTCACAACTATAGTTTTTGGGTGCATCTACCATCGCGTTTTAGAAACGAAATATACATACCTAGCTAGTACAGCAACCTGTAGTCATTATTAATACACATCTATTGTATGAATTAAAACAATATTGTTTTGTAGTAAACTACTACCAGTTGAATCAGAATTTACCTTTTAATTAGTTTTAGGTCCTCATAGAAAACTAGGTACTATAGGTAAACTTAAAAATAAGAGCATGAATGTTTTTCATGATTTTTTTCCTTTCATGAAAAAACGTAAAAATCGCTGTTATTCGTGCTGTAAAATTCACCTTCTCAAAAAGCGCTAAAATACTTGAAGATTTTAACATATACCTCGTGAACTTCGTTCCAAGAATGATGTGAATTTTTCAAAGGAAAGTTCCACACGGTTTTATCTCTTTGAACTCCAAAGTTAGTGCCGGGCAAAGCTGTTCTTAATGTATTAGTGACAAGAACTGTAATAAGCGAGGGGAACTTTTGATAAAATATTTTATCTCTGATTTCAATGGCGCCTCACTATTCATAATTTTGAAAACTGCAAAAGGTTGAGTTAAAAAAGATTTTTCATAAAATTCTTTCCAAGTTTTCAACATTAAGTCTTTATTGAGAGTAAGCTTTGATACTTCGGAGTAGTCAAATAAATGTGAACTTAGCGTAGAAGTTATTTACCTTTTGTTTTTGTTAGTTTTTGGGACAATCAGTTAGACTTAAGTTTACAGTTTGCTAGACCAAACTGAGAACAAAATAGACGTGATTGTCCTCTAAAACCAAACCCTTAATTAATATCGAAATAATCTAAGAACCTTTACCACTTGCTAATAACCCTATTACGAACCGTCTGATAAACTACTGCCCGGTTTTACCATCAATCCCTAAATTTTAAGTGACCCCTATGGTAACACAAAACAGGAAATTTGTTTTCATATAAGTCACTTAAAAATTAGGAATTGATGGTGAAAACGGGCAGTCATCATTTGGTTTAACAGCTCTCGAATAATCTGACAGTGAAGTCAAGTGAAGTCACTTGTAACCAGCAACTTTTATTTAGTCACCACTTTCATTTTGTTGATAAATCAAAAGACTATCTAAAACTCTTGCCCTATGGCTAAAGTTCGATCCAGTGGCCAGGGAGGCAGAACTGTAACCATTTCAAACACAATTAACATACGTTATTAAAAATTCTTAGCGAATAGAGTCGCTTCTCACACTTGGTAGTTCGATTTTTGTCAAGTTGTTTATTTAACACAACTAACATTTCTATTACAGCTGATCGGATTATCATGTGGAGCCTTATTACTGATGCAGGGCAGAAAACAGCTGTCAGGAGTTGAAGTGATGCTCATGGTCTTCATAGCCCTGTTCACACTGGTCACACTTGCTTTTGTGATCGTGTCCGTGGTTTTACTTTTAGCAGCAGTAGATGTGAGTCTTTATAAATATTACTAGCTTTCCGCCCGCGGCTTCGCCCGCGTGGAATTTTGTCTGTCACAGAAAAACTTTATCGCGCGCGTCCCTGTTTCAAAAACCGGGATAAAAACTATCCTATGTTCTTTCCCGGGACTCAAACTATCTCTATGCCAAATTTCATCAAAATCGGTTGCGAGGTTTAAGCGGGAAAGCGTAACAGACAGACAGACAGACAGACAGACAGACAGACAGACAGACAGACAGAGTGACTTTCGCATTTATAATATTAGTTGGGATGATTTAGAATATCGTGGGATACTTTATCTGCTGCACTAATATTATAAATGTAACTAATTTTATTTTTTGTTTGTACAGAAATTACTCCGAAACTATAGTCTTTTTCACGTAAGATGATCCGTATGACACTTCAAGGTTATCCATATTACGCATACTACATATGCAGAATATTTTTGAAAAAATATTTGTATTTTATTGGCAATATGATAAAAAAAAAATACTTGTCTTGAAATATATAGTAAAATCTGAGTCTATTGATTATATTTTAATTAAATACGATGTAAAAATATTTTTTATTTAATGTACGCAATGTGTGAAACGGAATAGATTTAGTGCTGGGGTATTTCTTGTATAATAAAATCGATTATTTCCGTGGTTCATTAATCGATTGCAGTGAATACTTAGTTATTAAAAACATCACAAAAATCAACTATATTTTTCGATTATTGACTTTAATAAACGCATTGAAAACAAATTAATAGTTTTTAATTTAAAGAAACAGAACCAGTACTTTTTAGGAATCGTTTTTTTGAACACGAACCATGGAATTTGAATATTATCAATAAAAAATTGTTACAATATTTGTAATTAAAAAAAAAACACGTTTTTTGTTAAATAACACCTATACAAAATATTTCTCTAAAAGTATGTTTTACTAACTCTCGAAAAAAATCGATAGATAAATCGCTATGGTTTAGTTATGTGACATCTCTAAATCTTTCAAACTCGAAACGTCATACGGATCATCTTAGGTGAAAAAGACTATAGTGGACCTATTATAACTATACTTTTATTATAGGTACTTCTATGCTATGCTATACTAACATTATAAACGCGAAAGTAACTCTGTCAGTCTGTCTGTCTGTCTTGCTTTCACGCCTAAACCATTGAAATGATTTTGTTGAAATTTGGTACGGAGATAGTTTGAGTCCAGGGAAAGGACATAGGATAGTTTTTATCCCGGTTTTTGTAACAGGAACGCACGCGATAAAGTTTATTTGTGAGAAGGGCGAAGCCCGTATAATTATAATTCTTTCAACATTAGAATCCCACATTATTCCCATTAAATTAATCTGTATTGACAATTTCACAATTTGACATGATGTAATGAATATTATACCTTTAATTGGCGGTATGAAGTTCGCCCATTTAGCGTGTGATTATATTAATAGTTTTCAGAAACTATTATTTAGAACATTTCTTGGTATTTAGAATGTAACTATAGTCAATTTAATATTTTGTTTGTTCCAGGAAAATCCTTCACTAATGTCATATTACACCTGGCTCGCAATAATATACTTGGGTGTACAGCTAGTTCTAGCAATAATTGTACCGGTGCTATTGGTAGTCAGTGGAAAATATCACACTGGAGGAGCATTGATATGGATGGGGATTGTGACCGTAGTTGGTCTGGGTGAGTAAAATACTTTTATACTCGGCGCAAAGACTCGTGGCAGGCAGTGTAGTAATAAAACAGTGCATATCACGTTTTCTCTTGCACTCACACTGGTTATGGGTGACGTCACACAGAGGCAGGCATAGCGTTGTTCATAATTCGTAATCTACGAGTATACTTAAAATAAATCTGTAGAGAGGTCAATTCTGTACATGAAATATATTTTCAAAATAACTATCAGGGGGTGATGATCGATAGTGATGCCAAAAATGCAATCAGTTAAATTGTCTGTCTGTCTGTATGTTCCTTATAGAAACAAAAAGTGCTCGACGGATTTTAACGAAACTTGGTACAATTATTCTTCATATTCCTGGGCAGGTTATAGTATACTTAGGAATTCCAAGGGGAACGGGAATTAGCGGGAAAATCCTTTTGTATGAAAAATCTAAGCCGCTTAAGTTAGACGGTTAAAATTTGGCATGCAGGTACCTTAGTAAACTTAAAGCTTAGTTACTACAGGATATTGCAAAATTCCCACGTGAACGGGAGTTAGTAGGAAAAAACATTTGTATGAAAAAATCTAAACCGCGTAGATAGATGAAGGGGGTAAAACGGGATCCACGCGTACGAAGTCGCGGGCGGCCGCTAGTAATTAATAAAATGTTGGCGAGTGTGCATATCTGTTTCAAAAATTACTTATGGCCCCGCCTGTCACGAGTCTTTGCGTCGAGTATAGTAGCCATTTTCTCACACTTATTATTTACTTATTACAAGGTAAACTCTGTGAAATCTTCGTTCGCTCGCTTTAACCAATTGACGTCCACTGCTGAAAAAAGGCCTCCCCCAAAGATTTCCACATCGACCGTTCCTGTGGTGCCTGCATCCAGGTGCTTTCCGTGACTTCCACGAGACCATCGGAGTAGTAGTGTGGCACCATAATAGTTGTAAATGGAGATGTTTACGCTGATGTGCTGGCAATTGGAGTTGGACCAAACTACACTCAACATCAAATAAACCGCACCTTCCGCGACGCGAACTTAAAAGATTTTCTTCTGACACAATCATGATACCCCAACAATATTGGTGTTATTTGAAAGCCCAACAAATATCCTTAAAGAAAAATACATTTCATTTCTAAATAAATGATTAACATTAACCATAAATGTGACTTGAAAATAGACCTCACTTTGGGCTCACCTCTGGGATCAATTAGACCAATTTTTATGGTTATAAAACCAAATAAAGATCTCACGTGTCCTCTTTAACAGATGGATAGCGATTAATCCCAACTTAACAGTTTTATAGTCATAAAAAATGGCTATAGCGTAACTACCTATTTTTTGAATATGGGACTCTGGATCCTTGTAAAGACACATTTTTGGAGTAAAAACCTTTCCTTTAATGAAATGAAGTTTAAAACTAGGCTTTCAAATGGTACCAATGTTGGTGGGAAGTTTAGATGCATACGTTTGATAAGTGCTTGTCGCGGGAGGTGCGATTTATTTGATGCCGAGTGTAGTTCTAAGGAGGTCAAGCTATAAACCTGGCAATATCATAGTTGAAATAACCAAAATATATTAATGTAACTAACTGTATTAAAAAGTAAGCGAAAGTATAATTAGGTACTAGTCATTTTAATTAGCAAACTTTCAACTACATTCCTCTAAATTTAGATTGGCACACACTTAAAAAAATAGACTCAATTTTAAATAATGAAAACATCTTTCGTTGTGCGTCTAGATAAAGGACAATGACCAAAAGTGGTCCAAATGTCCACCACTAATGAGACCTATATTGACTTATAGTCCATTAAATAGAGATTAACTTTCAGTATGGGACGAAAAAAAAATAAGCTGTCAGTAAAAAGTTATGACTGTTTGAAAAATTGTAGTAGTTTACGCGCTAATCTCAAGAACTACTGGTCCGATTTGAAAAATTATTTTTGTTATGGATAGCCTATTTATCAAGGATGGTTTTACGATAAATAACATCACCCTACAACCAATAGGGGCGGAGCAGTAAAGACAACTATTTTCTACTAAACTATTTTCACGCGTACAAAGTCGTAGGCACAGCTAGTATAATATTTAATAAAATTCATCTATAACCCCGCGCCACATGCGACATGACATAACATGCGTAGATTAGTCCAAAATGTGCAATGGATAGAATGATAATCAAGAACATTTTCCGGATGAAAAGGTAAAAAACAGACTTTTCATTCAGTCATAACTTTTTACTGACAGCATATTTTTGATTGCGGTTTGGTTATAATGAATCAGTATTTAGTAGACTATTTTACTACATAGGTCTTGTTAGTGGTGGACATTTGGACCACACTCCATAAATTTTTGGTCATTGTCCTCAGTCTTACATTTTGTTCTCAGCATTAAATATTTTCTTTTACGTTTAAACTTTCACAAATGGAAGATCAAAGAATATTTCTACTTTATTTTTAAATGCAAAGGTTGCTGAGGTTTTATTCCTTTTACGTTGGTTTCAGGGTGGACGCATTTCATATCTGTGGTCAGCTCGTACAGAATGAGTTTGCTTTGAGGGCTTAATAAAGGCTGGGTTTTTATTTTTTTTCTTTTTCTCTCATTTTACATTCACACGGGCACTTTCATTTGAAATAAAATGAACTATGAATTTTTGGTCGAGATGTACAGTCGTGGAATGAAAAGGTTCGTCACCTTAGTGTCGGTTTTCGCTTGCACTAGGTACAGTAAGAGTCAAACCTGCCAACATAACAGTGCAAGAAACAGTGCTGCTAACATTTCAATAAATATGACGTTTGCTAACGAATAAGGTTTTGCTTGTTTATTTTTCTATCCCATCAGTGCAATGCAATGATGACATTAGTTTTTTTTTATTTAAAAGAAATAATAATGGCAGGTTGAACCAACAAGGTTTTAGTTTATCAATCATAATAATATTCTTGACAAGTTAAATTGTCAAACAACTTTGATCTGAATAATTTTGAACTTTACTGACGAACAGTAAAAGATTATTTTCTCTAACTCGAGATTATTCTGTAACATAGTTTCAAAAGGTAATAATGTGCTCGCGATTCGTTGAAGGAATCAATTTGAAAACTGACGAACCTTTTCATTCCGTGACTGTACATTATAATATTATGTCCAATAATGTCCATTGTCCACGCAATACCACTCATCTAAGGCCAAATTGCACCACCTAACTTTAACTGTAACTATAACTGGTGTGTTTTATATGAAGTTTGACAGATTTTTGACATCAGTTAAAGTAAGCCTAATTTAGTAAAGTAAAAGTAAGTAAATATTCAGATTTAATAATGTTAGCTAACTAGAGGTTGAGCGAAAATCCTTCCCCTTTTTATTAATAAAAATTGAAAATACGTATTACATTGGTTAAATTTTCACAGATTTGTCATTTTCTTTCCAGTTATAATTTTCTAGATTAAAATGGACAAACAATATTTTTAATTAAATTCCATTTTAGTTATCTGTACTAATATTATAAAGAGGTAAAGTTTGTGTGTTTGTATATTTGTTAAATTGTAATGGGTAATCTCGGGATCTACTGAACCGATTTTAAAAATTATTTCACCAATTGAAAGCCACAGTATTGCTGAGTGTCATAGGTTATATTAAAAACCGAAAAATTCCACGCGGGCGAAGCCGCGGGCAGAAAGCTAGTTATGAATAACGGTGTTATTTTGCACCCGATTTAGCTAACTTTAATGGAATGTCTCCAAAGTAACTTCAGTTTCTTTTCTCAGGAAATGCTTAGGTGGGAACGGATTTACATGAACTCTGATATTTATCTTCTTCGCCCATAACTGTCTTTTGACCTTTAACAAATATAGAACCGATGTTCACCAAAATAAAACCTTTTGTTTATATTGCTAATGATCTCGCCTCGTTTAATGACAGTTATATTTATAAACTTGTAAAAATGTAAATCCATACATTATCGTATTATTGTTATTTTGATTATAATTTTCTTGAGGACAAGTCAACCCTATACGAGTACGTGATTATTCTAAATACTTTTAATTACACAAGAAACCAATCAAGAGATATCAATCGTCTTTCGTGTCCCTCGTGGTGCATAATTTATCTTAAAACTAAAGCTTGGTTCCACCTGAATATAAGGTGAAATGCAGGCCAAGAGCTTCCTCGTTGTAGATTAAAAAAAATCTTACCAAGATTAAAATCAATGAAGTTTATGTTCTGCTGTAAGTTTTAACCATCTGGGTTAAAAAATCCTATTGGGTCAAAGTTCATATTCACACTATTCGTCTCAGTATCTAACATTAGGCGGTTATCACACTGCGCCGCGCTCCGCCGCGGAGCGCGTGATTTCATATAAAAAATCCCGCGCGCAGACGCGTTGTCAGTGTGTTGTGCCGCGCGTGTTTTCTATACAAACTGAGGTACTTGCGTACAATGATTAAATCTGTCGTCCCGCGTACCGCGGCGGAGCGCGACGCAGTGTGATAACCGCCTTAGCCTTTATTATCCTTGTATCATTCTTTATTGACCAAAAATAAAACTCTTTCTTCCCGTAAATAATCCATGGAATCCGATTTCTGTCTATCAATTGGCCCAATAAACGCCAGCTGTCTAATAATGTGGTTGGCATTAACAGAATCTTGGAATTCCCAGGCTTTTCTTTATTGGTCTTAAGTAAATGCCAATTTAGGAGATAGATTTCCCTGTAACTGATATAATGGAGAAGCTAACACGAGAAAGTTTACCGTTGGCTTGGAGCTAAATATCTAGTTGGGTGTAAGCAGAGGAAAATTAGACAATTTATATGTTTATTTTTTTAAGTGTTTCACGACTTTTGGACTAAGTCCTTTAGGCCCGATTTTTTTCTCCCTTTTATTTTAAATCTTAATCTTATACACGAGTTTCGAAAATAACAACTGCTGAAATGTTGTGGGTGGTTGTCGCGTGAGGGTGTCCCAAAAGTTATCCAATGTTTTTGGGACACTCTCTATAAGTACAACATAGACACAATTACAAATACATTTATAAAAACTTGGGATACGAAAACAACGAGAGCAGCATTTAATTAAATTTAGTTTAAAGTTTGACATTCATCAAGCAACGGATTGCTGTAAAGTCCATAATGAACAAAATTTCTTTGATTAATCTAATCTAATTACTTTGTGCTTTCTTTCCACATGACTTGATGTGATATACATAAATATCCTACTAATATTATAAAGGCGAAAGTTTGGATGTCTGGATGTCATGATGTCTGGATGTTTGTTACTCTTTCACGCAAAACGAGGTCCACGCGAACAAAGTCGCGGGCGGCCGCTTCATTTATATGATTCTTTTCCTAGAAGGCAACTTGCAATCTACCCGCTTTTTTGGCAACCTGCAAGATGTGATTTATTGTGAGTAAGGGCCCTCGCCCACGGCGACTTTTTGTAGTGATGTTTTGACTTATAAGACTTGTACTAACGCGCGTTAGTCGCATTTGCAACGCACTAAAGCAGTGGTTCTTAACCTTTAAGTCACGAGGGACCATTTTATCAAATTTTTGTCTTGTCAGGGACCACTTTTTTTTTTTCAAAATCCTATGAAAGGGGAGGTCGTTTCTTGCCCACTGTGCGCCGTTTGCGTTGTGTTGACTCGACTCATCACGTCACGTCACTTGTTTATTACGATGTCTTCGAGGACCACTTGGAATGCCTCCAGGGACCACCAATGGTCCGTGGACCACCGGTTAAGAACCACTGCACTAAAGGATCGATGGCAACGCGCTACAGCAGCGCGACTATATCGATGCAAACGCGCGACCTTGTCGAACGACATTTGGGTTACTGAATCGCGTTTGCATCGTGACAGAAGCGCGTTTATGTGAGCGAGGGCACACAGCTAGCGACTGCATTGCGACTGCGCGACAGAATCGCTACTGCATCGCTACAAAAAGTTGCCGTTGCCGCGAGGGGCCTTAAATGTAAAAGGTACCGACGACAACACATCAAGTTAAACACTGTAGCATCTTATGTTATTGTAATACGGTAGATTTTGCAACAAAAATGTAAAGTCTGAGGTGCTGTTGACGGTACCATTAAGCTTTAAACCGTTACTAGGAATTACATTTTTCCGGGTATTACAATGAGACATTTATTTGTTTTTGTTAACCCTAAATCCTTTAAAATACATTAATATTATTAACCTAGCGGCCCGCCCCGGTTTTCGGATTCGGATGTTGGTATTTTACAAAAATTTTAAATATTTATTAAAAATAAAAAAATATTCCTATGTTCATCGGAAAAAAAAGGTTAGGAGCCTATTCAATACAAACATACAAAAATACAAATCTTTCATCTTTGTAATGTATAGATTGGGTTTAGTCGAGCTATCCACTAATTCATTCATTTGGCCCACGAAGGGTTTTTTAATTTGACGGTTTTGGCGTCCCAACCGTAGTATTAAAATTTATGAGCCCCCTAGATTATAGTTCAATGGGTCCGACCGATTTAACGTTTCCTACGAATCTTTAAAAAATCAGTTTTTCAAGCCTCTATCCTTATAAATCCAGTAACAAAAATCACACAAAGCGAGTTACCTAGAAATCGTACCCAGGAACGACGAATCGAAAGAACATAACAATTTAACCACAGAAGCCTAACCCAAAACTTGAAATTTCCAAGAAACCCATAGTCCCACTTTACCCAAAATAGATTCCATTAATAAAATAATGTTTTCGTAGTATTCCCCAAATGATATGATAACGTGGCCAAATAACACGTAGCGAATGAGCTACAGTAAAATGGGAGGTTAATGAATAATGAACATTTCCCGAAATGTGTCCGTGTAATATCAGTTCCCTGATTCCTTATGTGATAACCATCAGGGAAAGGACCTATTATCGACTCAGCGAAAATTGAGGTAGACACTACATTATGGCCCAACGTGGGAGGGCCTAGCAATGTAAACTCAGGGCGTTCGATTTTCAGTTGTTTTTTTTTGCCTTCAAATTGGCTAATTTTGTGTGCTACTCAGGCTTATGCCAAGATAGGTAAATACAATGTGACAGATTTGTGTCACCGTCTATCGAATGTTTTTTTTTCATTCTTCATTAGATTAGAAAACTTTTTGCATTTTCTAATACAATTAAGTAAACACTCGGTAGCGGATTTTGGACATTGTCACTATTTTGCATTGTTAATTGAGCGTCTCTCTATTGCATCTACAAACCAAGTATGTTTTTATGACTGACTGTTTTTAGTGGACTATTATGTTGTGTAAACTCGGAAAATGGAACATTTTTAATTCCTTAAAAGTTGGTAGCGCGATTAAGATCTATCGCTCACAGTTTATAGCATTCCTTCGTAATTGCTTTCGTACGTGTTCATTATTAAAACAAATTTTCAGTTCACTTGTTTGTTTGACCTAAAAACTTACCTCATACCACAATTTAGTTGTTATGTTTACCTACATTATGTATGAACGTGAATTAGTAACGTAGGTAATGCGTAAAGTTAGACTCTGCACGATGGTCCTGAGTTTAAATCGAGTGAAATACAGACAAAAAGCAGTCATCATCTTCATCATCATTTCAGCCACA